TATATATATATATATATATATATACACTGTGTGTGTGTGTGTGTAGACTATACACTATAAGACATATATATATATATATATATATATATATACCTTTTATTATATCAGGAATCTTCAAATCGTTTTTAGAAGAAACTTATGTAAACACATTCTGATTATAAAATGTGAAGTGACAAGGTTTATATTGTTTACTATTTCACACACACATTAATATTATACATAAAGATTTATCTCGCCTTAGTTTAAGGATGTTATATTGTTATTATTAAGTTGAATCATCTAAAGATTGAACTTTAATAAAAAAGAAACTGTACATTTCCTATAATTATTTTGTTTTTTTCCTTGTACCTTATATGCTTTCAACTGTTATTCGATTTTAGAGTGATCCATCATATCTATCAGTAGCTTGAACTGCGATTTCTTTTTGTTATAGTTATAGATAACCAAAAAAAGAAAAAGAAGGTATTTTTGGGTTAGCAACTGTGTGTCAAAGATTTATGACGTTCTGTCATTTGAAAGTTATCAAAGAAGAGAATAAAATAGACTGAACGACATTATACATCAAAATAATGCTGTCATTACATACGAATAAGAAAGTGTTGGACCACGTGACGACTGTTGAACAGATTATAATGATTAAAATATTTGTCCTTTTGCACGGTTTGTTTTAACACAAAGCTATATAATCGGTTATCTGTCCACTACAGGTAATCGATTCCCGGACTATAGCGTTGTAAGTTCGTAAACTTACCACTGACCCACTGGGAGAGTCTCTTGCATGGACTTTGTATCTTCAATATTTTGTTTTCGCTATAACTAACGCTGTAAATAGGTCGCACAGATCCAATTTCCAGTTTGTGATAATATCTTAAACCTGTTAACACTTTTTTTTTAAATGAGATGTAAAAATTATTTTAAACTAACTTAATATTAAATATAATATTTGAATGATAATTAAAAATGTAAAAAAAAACAGTTTTAGTGGGGTTTATTAGAAAGAATATATATAAAAAAAACATAGTATTGTATAATTTTAAATCTAGAAA